CAACCTTCATTCACAATTTAATTAACAAAAACAATTGAATTGGTCTTTAGATTTGGTCTTTGTATCCGATTTTTATATCGTAATAACCAAATAAGATTTTGTCTTTTCTAAAGTTTCTTCGTTTCTATGGATATGGTAGTGTCAACTTTGGCGTTACTATATTGCACATAACTATTATTGTGTGTGTAAATTCTTTTATAGCTTGAAAGTTGGACAAAAAAAATACGACATATTGTGATAAATTGTATTCAATATCCATTTAGTTAAACCGTGTGAATTATTCTATTTGTAAATTAGCAATATCTAAAATGAAAATGAAAATAACCTACTATGTATAATAACGTATAGTTTAATTTTGGTTTATGTTTGCATTTTAATCAAAATATCCTTTCTTCGAAAATCTTAGCTCAATATTGTTTTTTGTTATTTTCACTGAATTTGGGTATTTGGATTAAATATTATTGTTTTAATTTTAAGTAAATTGTAAGAATATTTACGCTGATGTTTTTGTCATTTGTGTATAATTATATATAATAAATTAGAAGTTTACTATAAAAATATAAATAATTTAGAACAATACTTTAAAGAGTATTTATTTGTTAAAAAAATATGTACAAATCATACTTAGAGAAAAAAGCCCATAAGCCATGTGAATCTTGTTGGAAATCTCTATGGAGTAGGATTTAGATAGAGTTTGTGTTTTTGAAAAGTTTAGAGATTTGTTAAATTTATAGAGAGATTTATTAAGTTTGGAAAGAGTTTTATTATTTCATAGTTCTTTCAAAGAGTTGTATTTTAAGAATTTTAGAAATCTTATGTATATACTTACAAAAAGTTGTGTTTAATGAGTAAAATTGTTAAAAAATCATACTCCCATTAACACCGATGTTCCCATTAAGGAGTGACATTTTTGAAAAAATTTTGAAAAATAAGTATTTTTTAAAAAATGGCATTTCTCAAAAAAAAAATGTATTAATTACTCTATATATACTTTTCTGTCAACTATTACTCTAGATATATTACTCATTACTTTAGTATTGAGAAATTTTGAGAAATGACATTTTTGAAGTGCCACTTTTCAAAAATGACATTTTCAAAATGTTTGCAAAAATGTCAATTTTTCAAAATTATTTATTCATTATATTATTTATGTTTGGGTTTCTTATGTTGTATTAGAATTTAGTTTTGATGGTTTAAGGTTTCTTAGGTGTCAAAAAATTTTAGGGTTTAGAATTTTAACATTTAGGCTT